GTTTGATACTGACCTTGTATCAAACACTATTTCCTATTAAATTTCAAAGTTTTACTAAAACACCACATAGAGTCAGGCTTAATCAAAAAGTGTTGCAAAAATGTGAACAAATTTTGAGTCCAGTACTAAGCACATCCCTAACTCTCATGTGTTAGGGACCTTAATAGCATTGCTATGAACAATTAAGTGGCTCAGCACAACCTAGGACAAAGGACAACCTGAACATTTGTTTGTTAGCAAGCTGGCATTTGGGATTCTAATAATGTCTCATCATTTCTACCTATCAGCAACAACCTCATTTCCTAAAATATATCAGTTAAAATGATTGAAAACTGAAGTAGAAGTGGCTTGGCATATTGGTATGTATACACATTGTCATATAAGCCCATCTCTTGATGGAAGAAATCCCCCATTTGCCTTTGAAATGAAAATACCCTGTTAGCTCTGGGTAAAAGTTGGCTGTCCTGACTGTGAACCCAGTGCCAGAGAACAAGGGGTAGGACTAGCTAGGAGGCTGGTTATGAGGGGGCCGAGGCCTAAGGACAGTGGTACTGGGAGTGAACAAAAAAGAACAGCCCATGGTGTGCAGAAGTCAGTGGGATTCTGTGACAGACTAGACAGATGCTAAAGGAAAAAAGGGGGAGGAGACTCAGAGGTGTGCTGGAGGGACTGCCGAGGGACTGACTGGGTTCCATGGTGAACTTTACACACCAGGAGAGCATCTTTTCATGTTGTTGGAGAGAAAATTATAGAGAGCTCCTGTATTGTATACTAGCTCCTATATTATATTATAATACATTATATTATATTATATATGTTTCTGAAAGACCCAAAACCCCAATTTCCTATTGCTACAAGTTGAAGATAGATTCTGAACCCAGATACTTGCTGAAATGATATTTAAATAGCTAGATAAATAGATAGATACAGATATAGTTATAGAGGTAGAGATAGAGATATACTATGTCTCCCATTGGTACAGGAACAGTTGAACAGATAGTAGAGAACTTACTTTTCAATCTCCTGCTCTCTGAAGGCCCACTCTTTCCTCTCCATTGCGTCCATCATCTTCCTTCTCTTCTCAAATTGGGAGCTGTCATTCAGAGCAGGGAGAGTGGCTTCCCAGGCACGCTTTTCCCGGGCTCGTTCTATCATCTCCACCTCAGCCAGTCCCGCTGGGAGACCTCGACCTAGAGGACAAAATGTCTTACCTTAGGGTCAAGTGGACAACCCATGTACCACCAGTAACAAGTGATCCCCTCAGATCCTATCTGCTTCCCTAACTTTGAGGGCTATGACAGGACACGGGGGTATTAAGAAACATCTTTAGTCTCACACTTGTGTTGTCTGTGCCTTGCGCTGTCTCTTGTTGGTACCTGGCCCTTCAGATGTTATCTGCATGTCAGATACTGCAAAGTACAGGAGGAATATCAATGAGCTGAACGATCAGACATTGGAATGTCCTATACTAGACAAATCCATATTTTGAAATGCAAAGAATAGCAAAGTCCAGGGGATGGGAGGTTGTAGGGAATTTATTGGACAAAGGTAAAAAGCAGATTTGTTTTAAATAAAAGAAAATGAAGGAATAATCATTAGCTGAGAATTCATCACATTGTACTTTGTCCCCCCACAACGAACGTTCAATTAAGGGCTTCCCTCACTTCCAACTCTGAGTTCAAAGACATCATGACCCCCAAGTCAGGCAGATAGTTGGGCCACTGGGTATGTCTCCTGACCAGCTCATAGGTGCTGTCTGAGACCTGACTTACAACTCTCTGGAGCAAGCTTGGGATCCTAGCACGCTCTGGTGGATCACATCTCTAAACATGGCCTTGATTTACTGTACCATCTCCTTCAGAACAAAAGTTGGTAAAACAAACAGGGCCAGAACAAGCTTCCCATTTGATCACAGAGCCACAACAAAACAATCTTTATTTTCATTTAAAAATAATTATACAGGAAAGTGCAAACAAGCTATATTTCTACTACATAATAAGTTAAAATTTTTCACTATTTGTCTCAAATTTTTTTCTACATTTATACTCCAAAAAACAAATAACATATGGATTCAGTATCTCTTGCTTTTAAAATTGGAATATCATTTAAAAAAGCTAAAGTTCTCCTATAGTCTACCTCCTCCTTCTGACCATCTCAGAAGCAATCACAATGGGCATCTAGTAGGTATACTATCAATGATACATGCAAAATCATGTATATACATATTTATATAAATATATATAATTGTGTGAATTTGGGGGTTTTTAGTAATTAAAAAATTAAAAGTATGAAGATAAAATCACAAGTACTCAGATTTAACAATTGCAGACACATTCTGTCATATGTAATTTACCTTTTTTTAAAAAAGAAATTAGGCAGACAGGCAGGTCTGTGCATGCCCTACCGAGGTCCCGAGTCGCGCGGAAAACGCGGAATCACACCACTGCAGACAGGCAGGTCTGCCCACGCACTACCGAGGCCCCCAGTCACGCGGAACATGGCAAATCAGCCCGCTAAAGACAGGCAGGTCTGTGCACGCCCTAATGAGGTCCCGAGTCACACGCAAGACACCGAATCACCCCGCTGCAGACAGGCAGCCACCTGGTTCCACACTACAAAGACGCAGAGGACACCAGACCACCAGACCAAGGTACTGAGTCCCGCTGCTCCCGGCCCAGAGGTAGGGGCTTCTGAACAGCAGTCCCACTGCTCCTGGTACAGAGGAAGGGGCTTCCAGGCCACCATCCCTCCCAACGCTCCTGGCCCAGAGGGAGGGGCTTCTGAGCTGCCATCCCACTGCTCCTAGTCCAGAGGAAGGGGCTCCCAACCCACAGGAAAGGGCTTTTGGGTCATCATCCCTACTGCTGCTCCCAGCCCCTGTCCCACCTCTCCCAGCTCAGAGGAGGTAAGCTGTGCGGGTGCTAACAGCCCCCTGACCCAGTCGAAATGAGAAAACACATAAATAAGTCTCAAAACCAGACTTCCAGATCACCTAGAGCAACCCCAAAGGGAAATGAGATGGAACA